AAATTTTATATTACTTTTAGAAAATAACTATCAAAAATACAAACATGTGGAAACTTAACAACCTACCCCTGAATGACTTCACAACTAGTGAAGAAAGGTAAGACTGAAATTAAAGGATTCACTGAACCCAATGATAACAAGTACATGAGTTTTCATAGCCTATGGGACACAGAGAAAGCAGTCATAACAAGGAAGTTCATAGCAATTAGTACACATAAGGAAAAGATGGAAAGGTGGCAAATAGATACCCTAACAACACACCTCAAGAAACTGGAAAAACAACAACAACAACAACAACAAAATCCCCAAAATGCCAGAAGATAAAAAATAATAACGATTTGAGCAGAAATAAATGAAATTGAGTATAAGTAAAATATATGGAAAATAAATGAAAACAAAAGCTGATCCATTGAGAAGACAAATAAAATTTGGATAGGAATAAACCTAACCAAAGACGTCAAAGACCTCCACAAGGAAAACTACTTAAAATAAGAAAAAGAAATTGAATATAGCACAAAAAAAGTGGAAGACATTCCATGTTTCTGGATGGGAAGAATTAATATCATCAAATTAATCTACAAATTTAATACAATCTCGATCAAATTACCAGGTATATTCTTCACAGATTTAGAAAAAACAATCAGAATTTGTCTGGAATCATAAAAGACCCTGTATTGCCAAAGCAATACTGTGCAAGAATAGTGGAATAGGAGGCATCTCACTTCCTGACCCCCAAACATAATACAAGGCTGTGATAATCAAAATGGCATGTTACTAGCACAAAAGCAGGCATGTGGACCAATGGGAGAGAATAATAGAGATCCCAGAAATAAACCCCAAAACATAATGTCAACTGATTTTTGACAAAGGGCACCAGTCAATTCAATAGGGAAAAGAAAACTGCTTTAGCAAATGGTGCTGGACGAACTGGGTATTCACCAGCAGAAAGATGAAATTGGACCCCTATCTCTCACCATTAACAAAAATCAACTTAAAATGGACCAGAGATCTAAACCTAAGCCCACAAACTATAAAACTACTGGAGGATAACATAGGGGATATTCTTGGCGACATTAGAGTAGGCAAGGACTTCTTAAATAAGAACCTCAAAGTACAGGCAATAATCCCCAAAATAGATAAGTGGGACTACAACATGTTAAAACACTTCTGCAAAGCAAAATAAACAACTAAAGTGAATTAGCTTCCCTTGGAATGGGAGAATCTATTTGTAAGTTATGTCTCAGATAAGGTACTGATAATCAGAATATACAGAGAACTTAAGCAGCTCACTTGAAGAAGAGAACTTAAAAAAGAACCCAATTAAAAGATGATCAAATGATGGATACAGCAGTTAGCATAATGGCTATGTCGCTGAACTCCCATATAGTTGACCATGCTTCGAGTCCCGAATCCAGTGACAAACTCACACCAGGTGTGTGTACATGCATGCCCAAGAACCCGATAGGAGAATGGAGGAAAGGGATTGCGGCATGGCCATCTCCCCTGGGGAATGATTTCTCGCTTTCTGTCTCTGTCTGTCTCTATCTTTCTGACAAGTGCATGTGCATTATAGCAAAAACCTCTCAAAAAAATAAAAAAATAAAAAAGATGGTCAAATGAGCTAAGCTCTCTAAGGAAGACATACAAACAGTCAAAAAGCATAGAAAAAAATGCTCAACATCCCTTATCATACAGGAGATGCAAATCAAACTACAATGATCTCATTGTAGCCACAGACAGAATGACTAATATTAAAAAAAAATAAAAATGGTAACTTCTAGGAAGGTCGTTATGAAAAGGTAACACTCCTACACTATTGGTGGGAATGTAAATTAGTACAGTCACTATGGAAAACCATATGGAGGTTCCTTAAAGACCTACAAAAAGAACTACCACATGATTCAGTAATTCCACACCTGGGTATCTACCCAAAGGATAGGAATACACCCAGTCAGAAAAGTGCTTGCACACCCAAGTTTGTTGCAGCATTATTCACAACTGCTAAGACATGGAACTAACTTAAATGTCCATGAACAGATGAATGGATTGAAAAGTGTGCACATAAACAGTATGGAATTATACTCAACCATAAAAGAGACCATGGCATTTGATAGAAAGTGGACAAATATGGAAGATTTACTGCTAAGTGAAGCAAGCCAGACTACGAACAAGAGGCACTGTATGTCCCCACTCAATATATAGCAAATGTCTGTACTCTATGGCAGAAAATGAATGACTGGAAGATATAAAAGTATGGAGAAAAACTGAGGATACTAGAGATAATGTGAGAGGAGGGTAGGAAATGGGAGGGTGAGAAGAAGGGAACCAAGGGGAAAAAGAAAGACACAAAATATTTAAGAGACACAAAAACAGAAAATTATTTGTTGATGGTAAATGTGAATGATAATATCTTTAACTGGACTAATATGCAATGTATTCATACCAGGAAAATTCATTTTGCATGATGTAATGATAAACAATGATTAAATGTATAAAAAATAAAATATGTATAAAAAGATATGTGAATCTATATAATTTGTAATGTTTACACATACCTATGTGTGTAAAATTTTTACTAATACTAAATAAGGTTTAAAAGTACAAACAACAGACTCAAACCTCTACCTTATATTCATCCACAATAATGCTGAGGGC